TTCTTACAAAGAAGATGAGATCTTTGGACTATGCGCCTCTTATCGACAAGATAAAGATCCGAATTAATTCATGGACGGCTAGGGCTTTGTCTTTTGCAGGCCGATTACAGTTGCTAAAATTGGTCATTGCAAGTTTGACAAACTTCTGGATGCAAGCTTTTAAACTCCCAACTGGATGTATTGATGAAATAGAACGTATTTTCTTAGGATTCCTCTGGTCTGGTCCCGATTTAAACACCAGGAAAGCAAAACTAGCATGGGACGAGGTTTGTAAGCCGAGAGATGAAGGAGGACTGGGTTTACAAAATCTCCGTATGGCGAATGAAGTATGTGTCCTCAAGCTTGTATGGCGGGTATTGACAGCCCGGAATTCTTTGTGGGTCTGATGGGTTCGATAAAATCTAATGCGAGGAGATTCACTGTGGACGACGCCAGCTCCTACACCTGGCTCTCCTGGTTCTTGGATGTGGAAGCAGATTCTTTTGTTCCAACAGAAAGCTAGTCAGTTCATTAGTGTCCTGCCGGGTAATGGTCGTTCGATTATGTTTTGGTATGATAACTGGTCGAAGATGGGGAATATCTTGCATTTGTTAGGTGCGTGAGGTATTATTGATTTAGGGATTTCGGATACGGCGTCTCTCGAGGAGGTAGTTTTGACGCATAGGAGACGTCGACACAGAAACCTGATCCTTAACAGGGTGGAAGATGAGATCGAGAATTTCAAAACGGGTTACAGATTGGATGATGAGGATGTGTTTCTATGGAAATAGCGAGAGGGCAAATTCAAGCCAATATTCAGTACTTCAGCAACCAGAGCTCAGATGCGAATTGCATCGCCAAAAATACATTGGCATCAAGGAGTTTGGTTTAGGCATCATTGTCCTAAATTTAGCTTTATCACATGGCTAGCTATGCACAATCGGTTGTCTACGGGTGATCGTATGCAAGCTTGGAATGCAAATATTTCTCCATCCTGCGTTTTTTGTCGAGAACCATGGGAAACTAGAGCACATCTTTTTTTCACATGTCCTTTCTCGAAGGAAGTATGGAAGCGAGCCTCTATAGGGATCCTGCAACAGGATTTCTCAACGGATTGGGCTGTGGTCACAGAGCTTGTATCAAAGCCTTATAAGACATATCTGCAGAGCTTCACCTTGCGCTATGTCTTCAGTTTAGTGCTCTATGTTGTGTGGAGAGAGAGGAATTCAAGACGACATGGTAATGCTCCTGTAACAGAGCAAAGCCTGAACCAGATTATTGACAAAGAAATGCGAAACTGCTTCAGTAATATTCGAACCATGGGTGACAAAAGGTTGGAAGAAGGATTGCAATATTGGTTTGCAGTCCATACTCTGCATTAGAATAAGTTTTATGTGATGTTGTAGTTCTTTTCAAAGTAGCAAAAACGCTCGCACGATGATGTAGAAACGCTGTTTTTTTTTTGTTCGAATAAATTTAACATTCATTCAAAAAAAAAAACAAAAAGTTATCAATCAGTTTTTTTCTAAACATAAAATATGTTGATTTCTTTTTTCGTTTTTCAATTGAATTTATATTATAATATACGGAGGAGATTGATGAGTGGAACGGGTGTAAAAGGATCAAGCAGTAGCCAAGGTGGTGGTTGCAACCACTAGGTCGAAGCTATACCCAAGTCAAAGGAAAGAGTTTCATCAATTATGTATCATGTATGTCTTTTTTGTTTGTTTTTATATCATGTATTATATATATATATATATATATTCATAATATAATATGTTTTAACGTTTTTATTTTCTTTTCAATGCAGCAATATCTAAAATAATATTTTCTATATATATTAATAGTTTGTATTGTGTGTGTCTATCATTGATTAACACAGAGACAAAGAAAGGTGTCTGTATTTATTTAGATATACAAAGGCTTTCCACCATTTTTTAAGTCAACGAGGCTCATAGAGAATACTTGAGTCGGGCCTGATTTCCATATGCCAAACATATTTAATATATTTGCACATTCAACTAAATAAAAACCTCGAATTCAGATTGATGAACATCAAATAGATAGGTTTCACGTAAAAAGTCATGTATTCAAATATTAGAGAGATATTATACTGTAATTGATAAGATTGGATCTGAGATCGGATCTCGAATCCTAAATTATTTTTTTCATCAGTAATTTGTTAAAGAAGTAGAGTCAATTAAACAAAAAAAAAAAACAAGTAGGGTTAATATTTTATATCATTTATCATTTGTTTTTATAATAAAAATACATATAAATTGTTTAAAAGTTGTTTTTCTATGTGCTATTCTACTTAGAAATGTAGATGAGTTAGACATAAGAGTGGAAAATATCTAAAGAGTGGAAAATATATAAAGTCTGGATATCCGAAAGCTATGTATCCAGATTCTGCTAGTTGTATCTTGGATCCGAATCTGGTCCACCTCAAAGATCTACGATTAAAACTGGATTTTAGCACAAATAAACAAAAAGAGACAAAATCAAATCAAATTGGCGGAAATACTTTTAGTTAAGAAGTTATAAGTACATGGCTTTTTCTCATCAGAATTTGCCACCACTTTTTTCGCAAAGGGTTGACAAACGTCTAATGGACCCCATTGACAAAAAAAAAAAAATCAAATTAGTGAGAAATTGATTATAACTCAATCAATGGAGGTTTGACTACGTTGGCTAATTCCGAGATTGTATATCACTACATATATGCAAATCAGTCTAGATTTTAGTACATAACATTTTTTGTCTTTCTATCCCTTAAAATTACTAATGTCATATATCTTTCTAGGTATTTTTTTGTACATGTGTACATTTAAATAAATATTACTAATTTCTAATTTACTCTAACTAACTACTTTAAAAAAAAATGACAGGAAGGCGAATGATGGGTTATTATTCTAATCAAAATGTGCCGGGGCCAGTTAAACCATCGAAAAGTAAACGAGGTCGTGGACCTGATGACGGCGAATGATCCTCCCACCGACTAGTTTTCATCAGTTTCACCAAGTTCCATTTTTCATTACATATCATATTTATTTTTTTCTGCTTACTTTTTCAAGTTATGTGAATATTTTTTTTTTAGTTATCTGATATTTCCATGTTTAAAATAATGAAATCTCATATATTGGTTTCTTAACCTCATATTTCGCCATCACAGCAATATGCGGGATTTTTCTACTTCTCTCAGATCTTTAAGAGAGAAATATGAGAGAATCCGCGCATACGCGCGGATCTTATTTTAATTTATATTTTAAATAATACATTTTTAAAATTTGTTTTCATTTTACCATCATTATATTTTTTGTTTAAAATATTTATATTTTCTTTGATTTCTTCTAGATGATACATTATTTATAATCTCTTCCACCTGTGCCAAATAATCCGATTTTTCTTTTACGGTAATGAAGGACTCAATATCTACTATTTTAATTTATGTATGAAAACGTAATAGCTCATACAAAAATTTACCATTTTGAAATTTTTTGGTTATATATATTTTATTGATTCTATTTTTTAAAAAATTTTTAAAAAACTTTGTATGACATTTTGATGTATCCACTCTTCTTTTTACTATTATTTTTAAAATATTTTTTATCTTTTTAATCGTTTATTAAGTATTTAGTCTTATAATTTTATTACTTAGAGTTTTATATAAGATTATTTTAAATTTCTTAACTTATTCAGTCTCATATTTTTTTTTCACATACATTAAAATTTAATTATATTTTCAGTTTAAAAATGTAGTTTAAGTCACTTGGAAAAAGGACATAGAATGGTGCATTTAAAAACTATTGTATTATATAATATTTATAAGTTTTAATATATTTAAAATAAATTTTAATTTTATTTATTTAAATAATTTTTTCATATACATATTAATATTTATTAATGTGTTTTAATGTTTTTTTTAAATGTGATTAATTGTTATTTAATTAAGATTTTAAATAGATAAGTGGTATTTTCTCCAATGCTGATGTGGCAAACAGCTAGAAAAAGTTGGCCAAGTTTTATATATAAGATATGTTTAACATTTTACGGTATTTCCAATAAAAGTATGTATATAGGTAAGAGATATTAGAACACATAACACAAGCCTGATATATTGTCACATAGAAACCGAGAGCTCGTATAACTAAGAATTTCTTGTAAGATAGTGATATGTGTATAATGACTTAAAGAGATGTAGTTTTGGGAGTTGCCACTTAATGTAACTTTCTTATTCCCATTTCATTATATCAATCGAAACCATCTTGATCTTGGTATCCATTTAAGTTTTTCTCTCTCTCTAATTTTCTTGAAAAAAAAAAACAACAACTAATAGAGAGAATATAAAACAAATAATTTACATACAGAAATTTTTTTAACTCATACGTAGTGTGGATTAAATTTTAATATCTACTATATATAAGTAATGTCCAATACTAATTAGTAAGAGGCCATTTGAAAAGAAAATTAAACACAATTCTGTCAGCATTGTCACTTGAATTCAAAACAGATAATATTATACTAATAGAAAGTTGGAAATGAGCTTTAAAAAACCAAAGAAATTATTATGAAATATGTAAAGAATTTGTTATACAAGTTATACCTTTGTATAAAAAAGCCTATGGGTTATTCAATAAAATTGAGAAAACCTGTTTATATTTCTAAGTTTCCTCTAAAATTTATCAAACATGATTTTTAATTTTTCAATGAGAAAGTGAATCACAATGGCTTTAGTGAGTGTAGCTGACGATTAAAACGACGTAGTATGAAAGTTTTGTAAATAAATATTATTCATATGTATCTTTTTGTCTTTTTATAGCAAATTAACTCATAATTTCATTATTAATTTCGAGCTTATTCGAAACCATAAGCGTAAAATAATACAAGAGCAAACATGGGTACATTCAAATACATCATAATGTCAAGGTCATTCATCAAATAAATAAGAAAAAATGGAAGAAAAAAAAAACACCTCGATATATAACAAAATTAGGAAGTTATATAACCAAATATTACCTAAATCAATCAGGATATTTCAGGTCGAAACAACTAACATCACAATAATATTCTTCAGGGTTGCAACTTTTGCTCGATACTTCCAAGATGACAGGAGATATGCAACGAGACTTGCATTGATTGCAAAGTGGTCGAGACATACTATTGTTACGAACAACCTTATAATATGTACTAATCCCATCATGGTAAGAGCCCCACTCTGTGTATCCTGGCAGGAGACCTGGAGAACCGCCAAGCACACAATCCGTATGCAGGGTAAGCTCACAATCCTTAGAGGTGTAAAACCATGTTTTTGGATCTGTTTCTTTCTCGCAAATATCACACCAATATTTACCACTTGCGTTTTCACCGTACTTTAAAGAGAGAAAGTGCTCATCGACCCTATGCTTGACCTCATATGGTAAAAGAGCGCATTTGAAGTCTAGTACGTATCCACAATCATCTTCCACGCATCTGAGCACATGATGTGCCTCTTGGTTGCAAGCACTGCAAATCCCCCGTGGTGATGTGTAAAATAAGGGATGAGGATGACTTTGATGCACAAATGGCTCAATAACTGAAGCACATCGCACATCTAATACACTCTTTCCAGCATAGTAACCAAAACCATTATGTAGTATTCCACAAGCATCACAGTCAAAAAACCTAGTTTGTCTAGCTTTAAATGTATACTGTTCATTGCTTACCACATGACGTTTTCGCATAGGCAGATTAGCGCAGCTTTCATGGAGAATGAAACTACAGCTTTCACAGTAGTAGAAAGAAAGGTGATAGATAGGATAAGTGCATGCCTCACAACTTCTCTCCTCAATAAAGATACCAGACTTGTCGAGTCTTAGATTATGTTCTTTATGGAGATTATGTTGTATGGTATTTTCATCAATCACCTTGAATGGTTCAATAGCTTCATCTTCTTCTGGTTCATCTTTCATTTCTTTTCCGTCAGATACATCTTTTCTTATAGAGCATTTGGTATGATACACAGAACCAGGGCACCTCGTACAGGAATAACCTCCACAACTCCAATCCATTTTCTTTTGACAAACTCCGCATACTGCATTCACGACACCAAGAAGAGAAGTGCGAGAAACGCGATGATCATGACGATTGATGTTGATAACCAGTGGGAATCCTGAGCAATCATTGTGGGCAGTGAAATCGCATGGAAGACAGACATACGGGCTTCGATCTCCATTCAACCCGCAAATGGTGCAAGTGAAAGAGATGGATTTTGGCATGAGGGTGAGTTTATGGTCATGGGTGTTTAGGTCTTGAAGATGTAATGGCGGTGGATGATGGACACATTGCAGATCCAGACTAAAGTTACAAATGGAACAATGATAAAAGACTTCAGAATTGACAAGCCTTTCTCCACACAAACGACATTTTCCATCAGTATAAGCGGGTGGTTCACCTTTGAAGAGTTTTAGAGGGTGCAAGGAGTGGGAAGCGTGCCTTATCTCTGCCCCATGCCTTTCGCAATCCACATGGAATGTCAAATCACATTCATAACACTTGTAGGGATATCCATCACCATCCTTTCTGCAAGCAGCACATGTGAAGCAGCTCTGCGTCATCTCTAGCTCGAGTTTATGGTGATGGTGCTGAGGAACATCAATAACCTTCGGTGGTGGGTACTTCGCACAATAGAAATGGAATGATGAAGAACGAAATCTTCTTTTAGGAACTAAAGCACAGTCGTTACATACATAAAACATGCCACCCTGGATCTTCCCTCTACATAAAGCACATCTCTCTACTCCCATAAAATGGATTGTAAGATAAAGAGTGTTGCTACATTTTTGTGAAGGGTGGACGATATTGTTTGCATTCTTGGCGCATGACTTGTGGAATAAACCATAAATACATTCATCGCACTGGTAGCCATCAATTACACCTTTAAATGTGAGTCTGCACCATTTACACTCCGACTCCATTTTCACAAGGGTCAAAGGATGCTCGTGGAAGGGTATTTCCACTTTCAGAGGGTCCATGGCTTGAAGGAAAAGAAAAAGAAGAAACAAAAAATAGATTGGATATAATCTTCAACCTGTATGCTATTTTTCTGTAAAATTTCGAGCTTAACTTTCTCTAATCTCAATTCCAACTTTTGTATGATATCTGAATATAAAAGAGAATGGTCATATTGAATTAATTAGTCGTTGAAACAAAAAGTCAATAATCACTTTTCCAGTGATCAATTATTTATTAAATTATATATTGGTGGCATAATATTAAAATAAACTTTGGATCTAAGACCACTAACCATCCACCATTTTATATAGTACTAAAATCAACGAAACAAGATTTACATGGCAACGACTATTCTTTTTCTAATAGAGTTTGAATGGTCTACTAATGGTTGTTACATTATTGTATCAATAAAAATTTAATTCGAAACGTAAAGAATAATAATTTTAGATCTGAGAAGTAATCACTAACCATTCACCATTATGTTTCGTGCCAAAGTTAATGAAGTGTTTAATAAGGACTTGAATTTTATATCCATTTTATATTAGGGTAGTCGCTCACAAGACTTGTCCCCTTGGTCTAACAAAAAAGGACATTTTCCGTTTGTTTATTTTTTGGTTGCCTAAGGGACTTGATCCGCTAGTGATTCAATCTAATTAAGTATGTTAACTGAAATTTTTAGAAAAACATAAAATTATATTTCAAAAACAGAGTGGAGATCTCGATCTCCGATTTTGAAAACAAGTGAGGTAAACTTTGTTTGAGTAAATCAAATGGTAGTAGGGACTGCTCTTAGGGACAAGACCGTGGTTCATGATGCTGATGTCTGATTTTCAATTTGCAAGAGTATCTGCTATGTCTTATAACCTATCACATATGTTTTGCCACCCTAAAACTGTCGGCCCCAATATAAATAGAGCGTTAAAACACAAATAGAAACTTTAAATTTTAAATTTTTAATTGAGAAATTATCTAAAATGACTCTAATTTTTTAAAAAGTTACTAGAATGATTCCCTCTTGGCAGATCTTCCATCGGAATGAGAGTCAAGAGAGATGTTTCCACACAGATGGTGTTGTGCCTACACGACTTATTTTGAGTTATGGGGATTTACTTTCGCGATTCCAAGCTTTAGTCGAGGTGACACTACAAGAAAACAAGACAATTCCAGATAGAATTTTCGATGACCAACAATCGGTTAGAAATTTTTGACGGTATCGCAGACGAAATTCCCACAAATTCCGACCATATATCAATACTCGGAAAACTCGACTGATTCCCGACCAATATAATAAATGGTCGATTTTTAAAAATATTTTTTATCTATTTTTAATAGGTTGTCAAAAATTGGTTGAAAACTTAATCAGATTTCTGAACGATTTCCGACAAAATATATCCGTTAATATTTTTTATATTTTTCTATTCGTTGGAAATCTGATCAATTTTATTTATATTATTAATATTTAATTATTTTTCTTTTTAATAGACAAACCAGCTAGAAGAAAGCGTCCAAATCATTTTGAGTTGATGGGAGATGTACACACGAACAAAGGGACCAGAGTGATTCAGGATCCTCTCATTGGTGAAATTTACGAGAAGGTGAAGAAAAAGGACGACCTCAGCCAACAGTCACAAGGCGACTCTTCTTCCCCTATTATTTTGTGGCATGAGGAAATCAACGTCAGATTTGCAAGATAATTTTTTTTGGTTAGTTACATTTAATTAGTTTTTCCCTTTATAATTTTGCTATTTAAAAACTTATTATTTTATTTGTGCAGGAATTCCTGTCAATAAAAGACGTCGACATAGTTTGGGTACAGTTTTATATACTGAGGAGTCTTTGATTTGTTCTGCTTTTCTCGAAGATCTTGTCGAGCAAAACAAATAGCTCAAGGCAAAAGCAGCAGCTTTGAAGCTGAAGCTAAACGCTACGCAAAAGGAGCTTACTATGACCAAATCGAAAGTCACAACCATGGTGAGTTGGATGAAGGCAACGTTCCTTGATTTCCCACGAATGGGAACCCGAAGTTCGGGAACAGAAAATTTGGAATACGAAAGTTAATTTCTATTTTTGTAATTTAGATAATTATTCTTTTAAAATATTTTAGTTTTATTTATAAAATTTGATTTTCAATTAAATTTAAATTTTTATATTTTTTAATTATAATTTTGAAAATTACTGAAATTGTTTTTTATTTTAATTTAAATATGGTCGGAAATCGATTGGAAATATAAAAACAAGTCTGGTCAGAAATCTGTCTGGATTTCAAATTTTAAGAATTTATTTTTTATTTTAATATCTGGATTGTCAGAAATCGATCGTAAAATATCAAATGATAATTTGTCTAAATATATATGCTGTCGGATATCTCTTGAGAATTGTCCGGCAACATTTTCATTGGTATTCCGTCAGAAAAACTTGTCCTCCGAAAAAAAATAAAAATGATCGAGAGTTCTTCGATATACTAATCCGTCAGGAATATTAGTTCCTCAAAAATCACCATCTTTGGGAATCTGACAGATTTTTTTTCCAACCAGATGATTCAGACAACCTGTATTCATCGGAATCAGTTTTTTTTCTTGTAGTGTGATCATCCTTCTGAAAAATGTTTTCCCCACATTTGTCCTGACTTTGTTAGGATGATAATCGGGCTATGGGTGAGGGCCAGGAGGAACGTCATCTGTTAGATCTAACAGATTTTTTTTTATGTGTGCCAATCTCATCTAACACTTATATTAATTATTAGTTGGAATAAATAAGCCTGAAAGTTAAACGTAAAATAACGTCTTTTCTGTTATAGTTTTTTTTGTCAATGAAATGCATATAACTTCAATTTAAAATTTAAATTGCAGGGAGAAGGTTGATGGATCACATTGATATAGGAAAATCAATTAGTGGACAAGCTGGCGGATGCAACCAAGATTCGGATTCGCCTATTCCCAACTAATAGTATGGATATATGTGCTGTAAGCTATATATAAATTTGTGAGTCAATGTGTCATTTACAATTTCTGCCATCCCAAATAAGGCTTCTCTAACTTTTGATCAATTATAATTATATGCACTTCTAAATTATGTAATTTTTGGGGAATGAAATCTTGCAACCTGTGTTTTAACTCCAACATACAAAGTGTGACATCCCGATCCTGCCTTTTCTTTCGGAACCAGATGCAGACCGGCGATATCAATCCTAACGCCCCCCAACCGTCCCTCCCAGTGAGCCCAACGCTTTCTCTAGGCACGTGGGCCCAACGTCCTCTCTCTAGACTCGTTAGCCCAATGTCCCCCAACCGCCCCTCCCAGTGAGCCCAACGCCCTCTATAGGCACGTGGACCCAACGTCCTCTCTCTAGGCCCGTTGGCCCAACGCCCTCTCTAGGCTCGTTGGCCCACCACTGTCCGACAGTCGGGAGTCGTTAGTCCGGAAAGCTTGTAAGACTTGTCTACTGTCCCTGCAATCAACCACATGATCTTTCCCCGTGCTTTTTCCTCACTTACACGGTACCGCGGAGCACTTCCCGATAGGTCACCCATCCTGAGATTATTCAGGCATCAACACGCTTAACTCTGGAGTTTTCTCAGCACACTTGACCGGAAAAGATAAGTGCACTTTGTTGACATAGGTAGCCAAATCAATTCTTATAATCCTTTCCATATATACGGAAATCGGGATGTTACAATTCTCCCCGAATTCCAAGGAATTCGTCCCCGAATTCTCCCTCCACTCACACAGTGCTTGCACCAGGATCGTTCACCCTAGACGGTGTGAGTCCACATGACTCCACACATGTGGTCGGGTATCGGCTCTGATACCACATGTAACATCCCGATCTCGCCTTCCCTTTGGGAACCAGACGCAGACCGGCGATATCAATCCTAACGCCCCCCAACCGCCTCTCCCAGTGAGCTCAACGCCCTCTCTAGGCACGTGGGCCCAACATCCTCTCTCTAGGCCCGTTGTCTCAACGCCCTTTCTAGGCCCGTTGGCCCACCACTGTCCGACGGTCGGGGTCGTTAGTCCGGAAAGCTTGTAAGACTTGTCTACTGTCCCTGCAATCAACCACATGATCTTTCCACGTGCTTTGTCCTCACTTACACAGTACCGTGGAGCACTTCCCGGTAGGTCATTCATCCTGAGATTACAGGCATCAGCACGCTTAATTCTGGAGTTCTCTCAGCACACTTGACCGGAAAAGATAAGTGCACTTTGTTGACATAGATAGCCAAATCAATTTTTATAATCTTTTTTATATATACGGAAATCGGGATGTTACACAAAGAATAAACGTGAGGTTTGAATTCAAATTGAAACCGGAGAATATAGGACATTTTGATTCCGAGTTCTAATAGAAAAAAGCAAAAAATAGGAAAAGGAAAACTAGTTGCAATTGGCAAACCAAATTTCATGAGTTTCTGAATCATGAGAGGAACCCCCAAAAAAAAAGGGGCCATTATATTTATAGGACAAAAAAACTGTATTATTGTCCCCTTGAGATTTTTTCAAATTTGGCCACTTTTGGACATAAATACCATTTTATAGGATTTCAAAAATTAAAAAAAATAGTTTTATAGTCTAAAAAATTTTGGAAAAATCAAAAAGAAAATTACAAAGACTTTCCGTAACATAATAATTTTTATCAAAAATTTTAAACATTTATTTTACAAATATTTTCCGAATTAGTAGAAAATGCATTGTATAAATCTATAAATTATAGAATAGGCTTTCTACTATTTCATTAGTTTTCTACTAAAAATATAGAATTAGTTTTCTACATTTCTTCTATGTTCTATAAAGATATGAAACCATATTCTATAAATTTATCATTGTTCTACAGTTTAGTAGAATTATATTTCTATAATTCACATCTTAGTAGAATTGGGTTTCTACGGAAACTCTTTGTTCTACAAACTTAGTAGAATTTCATTTCTACGGAAACCTTTTATTCTACAATTATAGAATACATATTCTACAATTCAGTTAAATGAATTTCCGAAAATCTATGAGCAGATCTAGAGAATATATT